GTGATGCATCCGCCAGGTGAGACAGCTGCTCAAAAAGCGAAATTCGTCCACTTCCTCTCTGACTTCTCCAGTCAGAGTGTGGTTTTGAGCTGCGCCAACTGGTTCTGTAGTAATATTTTACACTTTGAAGGTGCAAGACATGGTGGACGTGGTTACATTATCGCTCAAACTATCAATAGTTGCTTACCATTTTCCTGGGTCTGAGCAGTATAATGTCGTCCGCGTATTCCACATCTGATAGTCTGCCACCAGTAAGCATATTGGTGCTGCTATCCTCGCACGAGGGCAAAGTTGATTAGAATAGAAGATGGACGGTATTGCTCTACGTTGTTTCACTGTAACCGGGTTCAGTACCACGCCCATCCTTGTATGATATTCACAGGTTCGTCACTCCAAGTTGCATTGCTCAAACGACCGAGTTTATTAATCGCCCGATAGGTTCGTATGATTATGCATTTTCATTCCTACTGTTCATCACACTAGAGCGCACAAGCCGATCATTTTGCCGCATGTAATATAGCTAATTATAATCCATCATTCAGTTAGATCATACGTTTTCTGTTGTCCCAAGTAATCCTAAGTTGTCTACTCGCTGCTATTGACAGGGTATGTGCTATCCGTCTTTGCATCGGCTAGTGAGTCATTGGTTTCCGCCTCGGGAATATGCTTTTCTGGCCGGAGTTATGCATTCTGGTGAGTTATTTTACTGTGAGAAATGACTCACTCGCGTAACCTGGTCATCCCAAGTGCAACGCAGTGTATGATACTGATTGCGTTCATATTCAACCTGCCTTCTTGAATTGCTAAGTTGAATGCCATAGAACCAACACCTCGCATACATTATCTCGAACACCCTCCAGCACCAAGTATTCAACACATTTTCACTCTTCGACAAATTCTAGAACACAGACACTCCTTTCGTAGACCCAGCGTTTCTTTCTTCCTCGACCTGAAAGTGGCCTTCGATTCAGTCGACCGCTCTATACTCTGGCACTACCTCTCTCTGAAGGGTGTGCCCGAGAAGTTTATTTCAATTTTGCTATCTCTTGATATCGATAGCCGAAACCAAGTCCGAGTTTACGACACTTTCACCCGACTTCACCACGGTAAGTGGTATTCGTCAGGACTGCCCTCTCCTTTTCTATTTAAATTTGTTATAGATTTGATTATGAAAACAGCCCTATCCTCGTGCTATGATAGTGGCATCTATTTACTCCCGGGTGGTAGACTGTCTGATTTAGAGTATGCAGACAACATTGTGCTATTTAGTGAAGATCCGGGTAAGTTACAAGCTTTTCTGAATAGTTTGAGTGCTAGTGCAGCTATTTTCCAAATGCGTTTCGCACCTTCAAAGTGTAAAATGTTGCTTCAACACTGTGGGTTCAACTCCAAAACTCAAAATTAAGGAAATCATGGAAGAAGTAGTCAACTTTCGCTCTTTGGACAGCTATGTTTCATCTGTCGGAAGCGTCACGGATGAAGTTTCGGCACGTAAACAGAACGCTCGATTGACATTTGCCAAATTGAGACATTTGTTATCCTGTTGCTGCTGTCTGTTAAGGGTCGAGTGTATGCTGAAGCAATTCGACCAGTGCTTCTATAATGCGAGGAAACTTCGTCATTGGGAGAACAGGATAAAAAAGGCTATCGGTGTTCGAATACCGCTGTCTACGCCGTATTGCACAAGTCTCGTGGGGAAACCGGAGGTTAGGCGTATAGTTTTAAGCTGTCACGGTCGTGCACTGAAGCACTGAGACCCCGAGATCATCGTAACCGGTGATTAGAAACACTGAGTGAAATGATTGAGAATTGCAAACAGTGGCCCTCGTGCATTTAATCATTAGTCCAGTTTGTATGAATTTTGTAGCTTCTCTTGAACTCCGCTTGGAGCATTCTGATCTTCCTTCTATTCTGTTATCCAATGGGGCAACGGGACAGCAACCTGCTTAATGGTTGCAACAGGTGATGTGATGATTCCCGACTTTTATAGCGCTACTTGACGGTCTCCGCTCCTGTAACTTTGTCAAGGAACCGTATCTTAATTTATCATTCTTAATGTGTAAATGGTAGTTCATAGGTAAGACTCAGACAAAGTCAAAGACGTGAGTGCTTATGTATTTTCTTCATGCTGTCTAAGTGATACTCGTCGATCACACCGTTATTTGTAAGAAAACTGTGGTCTTCTTTTTTACAAAATATTGAAAATCGGTTCTCGTAGCTCGGGTGAAATGAATTTTATTTCCCCTGTTCGCCGAGCTTGGTAATTTGTTTGCAAATGTTTCATCACCAGCTGAGGTGACATAATCACCTCGGCTGGTGATGAAATGTTTGCAAACAAATTGCCAGTCGCGGCAAACAGGCGAAATGGAATGTGGCCTTCTTGTTTTTATCGTTGTGGACTCCAATTTTTTTCATTCCTGCTTAGGATACATTGTTGGCACGGTGCTTGCGTTATTGTGTAGCGGCTTCTTGATTGATTCACCCTTTCATGGCGGTTGGCCTTTGCCATTCTACGTGTCAGGTAAGTGAATTTTTCCATTTTGAGAAACATTGTTTTGGGCATTATTCTTCTTTGATGTCAATCGTAAGAAGAAAGATATTTTCTGCTTAGGACATTCATTAACCTTCGGTCTGTCTCTTTTACGCTTGGAACTTTGATCCTACCATTGAAAAATTCTTTTTACGGAGCATAATATGGACTGACTTAAATATTACTGATGCCTAACTAACAATTACTGTAACTTTCTAATACTATATATTGTTTAGAATGCGACGTGCATGAGCCCACATTTCAGTTCTTTGGCTAATTCTAAGCAAGTGATTTCGTTCAACACTCCGGTAATGCACGTTTGAATAAGGCCAACATTCAGGGAATGAATCTGTGCAACTGAATAGTTTAGTTCATCATAGAAGATTGTAAACTTTGCGGTCTACTGCATCTACTAAACTGAAGGTTGTTGTGGTGCCGAAGTTAAATGTGAGACACAGTTAAAGAAAACACTTAACTACTTCATCCTATTTGGACTGGATCATGTGCACCTCAGGTGGGGAGGCGAGCATACCTAACCCAATGTAAAGCATATTAGATAAGTATTTCGTAACTTTTCATTAATTAACGATCAATTATCAACTCAAAAATATGTTTGCCGTTGCTAAACAAAGCAGTAGAACCGTTTACCTTTCGTTACAACTGCAGACATGTACAACTTGAATATGATCATGATTCCGCATCTGCCATGACTGGTCCTGGTCCACTAGATTGTTTCAGTCTTCAAGGTGTTCGTCTACCTTGGTTTATTTTTTAAAATATTTTCACACACTGGTCTGAGGACAGACCGTGTGCCAAGCAAATCATGGTACAAGAATCTTTATGAAAAATAAAAACGTTCCATGAGTTGCCTGTGGGCTGAATACTGCCAAGTTACCCAGGCCAAGACAGGTGAATTTTCTTGAGGAATCCATAGCCGGAGCCTTTGGCTAGCCAAAGCCTGACTCGCAAGCAGCGGGGCGGTGTGAAAACCGCAATCGATTGAAAGCCGGTGCCCAGTTCATCGGATCATACGCCTTTCGGACGGGTCAAACGTCCAAGGTGTCGAATACACCTTAGTACCCAATTGAACCGGTGACCATTGCCACAACCCGGAAGGGGTGTTTGGTTTGTACGCCTCTTCTTAGATGGTTTGGAATCAGGGTTTTTGGCCAACTCCCCCTAGGTGAACTACGAGTGGCCCACCAACCCGGTTATAGCTCCGGATGTCGGCTGTTCATCCTCTCACTTTGATGGGAAATACCTCCGCCACGAGAAGGCAGTGAGTAGGGCTTCCTCAGTGAAGGCTGTTTGAGACGCTTGGTCGTATGGGAGAATTTCGAAAGGTGCAAGGAAATGGTGACCAGCCGCAACCCTAGACACCCTGGACCATACTGAGGCTTTCGGAGGTGTCTACCTTGGTCAAGTAAAGTGATTCAATCTGAGGTTTTGCAAGTTATCATTGGCTATAGAGTTCGCATTAGGTTGCTGTCTCAGATTCCATGATCCCGCTAACAGATTCAAGAGGACAAAGATATTCGCTTTAATGAATGACGCACGAAACATTACAAACATACGGAAATAGTGAAAAAGGGGAAATCCCTCGCGCGGTGGCTTTCGGCTTCCCATAGTAAAACTTTGACTTTGGTTACAAACGGAGTAAGTTTCAGACTCCTGACAACTACACAACNCAACCCAATCAGTCTCCTTCAGATCAACGGTTGAGGTTCCACTGTCTCCACCAGGTCAGACTCAAATCGTTTTTTGTTCACTGCCCTTCTGAAAGAGCATCGTATGTAGAAAAATCTAGTTTGGGAACCGCAACTTGGGGGGGGGGGGAAGGGCACAAATTACTAAACGTTAAACGAAGGACATCATACTTTAGGTTTATTTTGAACACTGGGGATGTGTAGCAAGCCGCTGGGAGCCATCTCGGATAGCCCGAGTGAATAGCGTGTTGTTTTGCTAATTGACTATGTAACTCGAAGTTTACAGTCGTAGGTTTGTACACTCAAAGGTGGCATCATTTCGTGAACACCACCCACTATCATTTATAGCCTGGGACTAGATTATATTGACTAAAATATCAGTGACATTTGGGAGCTGCAACGATAAACTTACCGAATAGTAACGGGTTAAGCATGAAACTCACATGGAATCTTATGGTTTGTGTTTAAATGCACGGTGGAAATGGCTTTGCTTGCCGCATGTCCTGCAGGGTGCCTCCATAGGATGGAGTGTCTGTCATAACCACAAAATCGAAAGTTTGTTTGCTGCTGATAAACTTAAGAGGGCCAATGATTCTGTGCTGTTAGTGTTGATGTTTGCTTTGCGCTGCACAAGCTTGGGTTTGTTTCACAGAAAATTAGAGGATTGTTCATGTTTACGACCTGGTTCGATTGATCTGACTCACCGATGTGCCTCATCAAGAGTTGCGCCGGAAGCTTCTCTTTAATTGATGGTCACTGTAGCCCGGCAGTCAGTGCATGGTGCATAGCTTCTCTTCTCTTTGGGGGCCGAAATAGCCTTCTAGTCCATTTTTGGTCTGAGAGTTGAATTCTTCTTCATCTTGTTCTTTTTCTCATTTGCTTTTTTATATGGTGGGTATATGCAATGCTTTTCAGTCAAGCGTCAACTCAATCAGGTGATGACTGACTCAGTTTGTGATATCAGAAATTTAGTTACACATCGAAGAGTCAATGAAATGGATAAGAGATCGAACTTGTCATGCTTTGAGGCTTATGTAATCTTAGAATTACTAAACCGATAATTCCATTTCGTGAAATCAGTTGAGTATTCGAAGCCAAGAGTATGTACTGTAGTTATCTAACATTTTACCTAAATGATCTAAGGCTGTGTACGGTGAACAATGTCGTATAAAGAATCTGATATTGCTGTTTTAAGATGCAAGGTACACGATCGTGTATAACATTTTGAGTGTGTCTATCAATCCAATTGGGCGGTTATGGGGAGGGATGCGTTGTAATGCGTAAATATCATTTGATAAAAGTGGTCACCCCGAATATTCATTTGGTCCATTTTTCGGTCTGACCAAATCCTGCACTGTCCACTTTGTTCCATCTAGCCCCATACAAATGTGACTGGAATGGCTTTTCAGATTAACTTAATGAAATCGCTGCACGCTACCGTTATTTCTGTTTTACTTTTTGCTGTTCAACAGGCGCTTTGGCTTTTATTTGGCTTCCGACTTGGATCTTTCTAGTTAGTGAAACGCCCAAAACGCATTCTTATATTACGATGGGTGAAAAACGTTACATTGAGGATTCTTTAAAACACACAGAGGTAAGTGTTGTTTCGGGGACTTTTGAACGTAGTTTCTTTGATTGATTGGTGAGTAGTTTAGTCATTCTTTCTGTTCATCACGTAACGCTGTTACTGGGTTATACATATCGCATTCCTGTTGTTCAATCGTTCTCAGTACTGACCAGAGAGCCTGGTATAGACTTCTTATCCACATTCTATTGTCAAGTGTTCTGAAGAAAAATATCCTCGAAATAAAATTATATTCTTTAAAACATTGGATCATACAGTATCTATCACTGGCATTTCTATGAACTCATTTCAGAAGCAGCTAACAGTACTTGAATCATAAACTATGAGGTTATTCAACTTAGGGGTAGTGTTTATTCTGGGCTCATAATAAGTACGCATCGCTTATCCTTTATCTTTGTGCTTGGTGCTTCATTCATTCACAATTATGTTCGTTTATTAAACGCATATTTTGTGTCGTGAACAGCAAACGGGGTGGAATCCCATGGTCACGAAGTTCCGTTGTTCAGTGATGTCAACCGGCAACCTAAGCCCCGGGAATCGAAGTGGTGAACCACTAGGTTAGGCGTTGTATTGAACCGGACAGCAGCAAAGGCGCCTACCACCAAAGTTGTTGTGTAGAGACAATGCTGTGTCAATTTCACCGGGCTAACTCAACGTGGGGAATGCCTTCACACGAGTTCAGCCAGGTTGTTCATGTGGTGAATAAACAAACCATTAGTTTGTTGCATATCTTCACCGTTCGATAGTTGGGGCTATTTTGACTACTGTTTGTCCGCTTTCATATTTAAATCCACCTTTGTGTTCCAGTCATTCATAGTTGCTAGATAAACACGCCACGAAGTTAATATTGTGAACTTATTCATATTTTAGTCACAGTAGGGGAGAGGGAACGAGACTTGTGGATCATAATAGACATCAGTTCGCTAAATTCGTTAGTTTTTAGAATGTGTTCGCTCATTGTCGCTTTGAATGACTTAGTTAGATGAACTTGGTAATCTAGTCGTCTTGCGATGTCTTGGTCATTGAGGGGCCAGGTATCTTGGTTTTGTCTGTCTTATTGTTGTCGTCATCGATAGAATGTTCCATTTGGGCACATGCTGTCAGTCACGCTCGAATTCATTATTACTCCGTATTAGCGCTGGTCATGTACAATGTAGCTATTAAATCCGGGATAGAGCAATCACTGTCTCTAAAAAAGCCCGATGTTTATTGTGTGTGTCAGTCAATGCATAATTACATACGCAAATATACGGAATGCAGAAAGATGTTGCAACAAACTTAATCAAAACTCAAATTCTGATCGGGGACTTTTAAAATTGAGCCATACACCGTACATTCATAGTTTGTTTAACGACGATTTTTTCAGCAGTATTACTATCACACTGGTTTCTATCCTTTTGGCTACTTTGACACTGATTACAGACAGTTATCACAAGTTTTGTAGCTAATGCATGCATTTAAAATACGCGCGGAAATTGGTTCATTCGTTCCTTTTCATACACCATGTATGTAACAAATGTCAATTGAAAAGCATCACCAAAACGATCTAACTGTGCCATGGAGACAAATTTTCACTAGTCCTCAAGTGTGGTTGATGATGCTATGCAACTTCATGGACGCTTGGTCGAACTACACCTTACTGGTCTGTGTCCCACAATACATGGATAGTGTATTGCACTATCCCATTAGTACAGTAAGTACACCTTGATAAATGTCTATCTCATTTGAATGTGTATTGGTTGCTGATTTGGCTTGTTGTGGTATCATTATACTCTTCCCATGGTGGAAAGTCATCAGTGCTTTGTATCGCTGAAAAAGGTAATGGCGTAAAATAACTACCTTAGTTCGTATCTGATTTCAACCCGTCCACAAGTTATTGAAAACTGATTTATTGTAGTCAGGTTAGAGCTAAAGGATTCACTAGCCATACTTTGTTCTGTCAACTTGTTTTGTCGTTCTCGACTATTCCCCGAGCTGAACACTTTGCAAACGTTCTGTCATCAACCGAAGTCATGTCTCTAGTGTTTGCCGCACGGCCTGCTCTGTATTCTCATACAAGGTGACTTCCCCTGATATGGTGTATATGTACTTGCTATTCTTGTGGTATGCGTACTATCAAATGAGATACATAATAAACAGCTTGAGTGCAATGATAGGGGCTTGTAGTGAACTCTGTAGTTTATGGTCTGTCTGAATTTAAACATTTCTGTAATGTGGTGAGTCAGCCTGGCCTATTTGTGCACTTTTCCGTTTATAACGAAGAAGAATTTATTACAGTTGTCGCTGAATGGTACGTAAGCTTTCGGTTTTGGTGGATTATTAAATATCTCCACGTCAAAATCGGGTAAGGGATAACTGGAGCCCACCTGCGTTCGACTGTCACTGGACGTCTGTTCGGTGCCTCACTGATGTGAGGCTGTTTGTCGATGAAACTGTCCATGCTTATGGGTTCAATTGAGTGCCTTGCGCGGGAATGTGGACGTTTCAATTGTGTGCCCAGAGTTTAATCATGCAGCTACCTTTCTCTCCAAGACACTCAAACCTTGCGGACAACTGCAGGTGAAATTACGCAAAAATAGCGTGATCCATGCAGATTTGGGTCTACACCCACACGACACTGAATAAGTGAAATTAACCACAACCAATAAATATCACCATGAATTTGGATACAATATACACAATACACAAAAACACGATAGTTTGAAAAGAACCTTTACTCAGGATGACTTTCTAAGTTGATTAGCTAGCATAACAGTTTAACATTTTAGCGATTTTTCTGTTTCTCTTCCAGTTATGTTGCTTTGATAGATTCTTGAAAGCTATTTGTTTTTGAATAGTATAGCTAGAAAGACTGTGTAGAATGCGTTCGTTTCACAAAGGAAAATCAGATGCTAGGTATAATCAAACATCGTCAAAATATTTTTGAAATTTTCAATGAGGTATGCAAATAGATCAAGCGTAGTAACTCTACTGTGCGTCTAGCATCTGACAACCACTTTTCTTTGAATTCCATCTGAAGACATTGTTCTACCTTGATCGCATTGTTGATGCATGTTTATATGATTCATGCAAAGCGTTGTTTAAAGCATGGAAAATTACGAAATCTTTATCGCGGTTCTTTAATTAACGATTATAGGTGACTGTCATACTTAGCGAAGCTAAGAATGAGCTGAATGGTAACAGTGTTCTTCAGCTCTTTGTATTTTGAATACAGGACTTCTAAATTTTACAGTCGCGATTTTCAATAATCACGGTCACATAAAGCAAACCCATAAGTTCTTGCATGATGAGTAGCTATGTTGAAACAACTGTTCTCGTACGTGATGATGAAGGGTTGCAGATCAGATAAACAGGTATTGACCAAACTCGTGCAAAACTCTGACTTTCAGCGCATTTGTTCCTCCCAGTGCTTAGTGTTCTGAGTCTCATTCTCATGAAACAAGAATCGTTTGTTAGAAAGAATTAACTCCCATACTGCTTTGCATAAAATATTTTCCAAATCCAGGCTGTAACTTTCGAACTACTACAAATCTTAGCACAACCATTAAGGTCGCCCAAATTCAAAGTGATAGAAGAGAACTAAGAGCAAGTATGATATTGGAAACTGAAATGTATTTCCAAAAAGAGAAAAATTTTGTACAATTTTGATCAACACCTATATAGTATAAATTTTCACACGTCTGATCCCAGACTGTGTGCGCAAATCACGGTACAATAATCTTTATAACAAAGGATTTGCTCGAGGGTGCGATACTTCCAGGTTGCCCAGGCCAAGGCAGGTGAATTTTCTTGAGGAATCCACACCCAGAACCTGACCCGCAAGGCAACGGGGCGGTGTGAAAACCGCAATCAATTGGGAGCCGGTGTCTAGTCCATCGTATCATACGCCCTTTGGACGGTGTCAAACGTCCAAGGTGCTCAATACACCTTAATGCCCAATGGAGCGAGTGAACACTACCACGACGAGGAAGACGTGTGCTTAGTTCGTACGCCTCTTCTTGGTTAGTTTGGAATCAGGGTTTTTAGTTTGCTTTCCTAGATGAACTGCCAGTGGTTCACGGACCCGGTTTCAAGCCCTGAATATTGGCTTTTCATCCTCTCGCTTTGATAGGAAAACACCGCCACGTGGAGGTAGTAAGTAGTAAGCTAGTTGAGACGCCTAGTCGTGTGGCAACATTCCGCACGATGCGAGAGGGAGCGGGGGGGGAAGGTTGGCTGGCCACAACCTGTCTTTAAACAAACGAAAGCCTGTTATTGATCGCAACATGGAAATTTTATAGGATACTGTACCTGCCCCTGGGAACAATGACATCCCGGTGCCCGAATACAATACAAGTGTAGTTTTAGCCTTATAGGTCCGCATTTTGCCTTGCTCACTGCGTGTTTGACATTCCTAATTTGGAGTTCACTACCAGCCGTTGGTTGCAGAGTCGAATACTTCCCGCGGAGTAAGTGTTTTTATAGGCATCCATGTTTTTAAATCGTGACGAAAAGCGGAAGCGATTAACCGCTCGGTTGCATGTTTGAGACCGTTGCCATATCCCATTAACAAGCTGAGACTAGTACAGGATATCTAGGTGCTGGGTGGAGATCATAAACCACAATGATCCGCTAGTGCTAAGATTCATGTAATTCCTCGTGCATCTCGCTTTGAAACAACTACTGAATCGACTCTAACGGAGGTTACTTTGCATTTCTCATCATGGATGCATGTTTCGATTAGCTGAAAATATAGAGAGACGTATGTAGTAAATTTTCGTTTCGTAAATTACCCCCATTAAAAGTAATACATTTGCGTTTATTGCTATACATACAGGAGTGCCGGAGATCCTGAAAATAATTTTAAGCTTCGCTTTTATTCCGGTCCATACCACCCGATTATCACACCTCACTCAAGGTTTTTTCTTTTTCAGAATGGAGCTCTCTCTGCGCTGCCTTACATTGCTGCCCTAGTGTTCATGTTTCTGCTTACTCCAATCGATAGTTTGCTCATCAATCGTGGCCTGCTATCCATCCCGAGGGCTCGGAAGCTTTGGTCAGCGATCAGTAAGTGCGTTGCCGAGTGTTCCGAGTTCTCCAATACTGGATATGCATGCATTATTATTTCTAACACAACAGTTTGCTTAGAGTGTGCCCCGTAGCCGCTGATAGGCCGCCTGATTGCGCAGCGAGCACTCCATATTGTTCAGATCCTGTGTATTTGAGTTACCGCTTTCATTTCAGTTTGACCAATCTGATGCTTTTCGCAATCGTTGCAGTCGATTTCTCAGGTCTCGTTTGTTTTATTCGGTATCCACAAGAAACTTTCTAGTTTTTTGTTCGCTTGTGCGCAATTTCAATACAAACTGATTTTTGGAATTGTCGGTCATGTTTGTGGTATGTTCCGCGAATAAAGTATGATTATTCTGCTCAACAACTGTTGGTCTGTTGTTGTTATTGCGTACCATTGTGTCCTGGTTGATGTGCGTTAACTGCAGCTTATCGTGTAGTGGTTATGATTGAGTAAGGAACCAGGGAACTCTATTTCTATCACAGTTGAATATCAAACTTTCTTTTGAACTTGCAAGCCGTCAAAAGTATGGATTGCTTAAAAATGTTGGTGGCGTTCAAAGCTGTTCACTTACGGTTTTAGTCGCACTCAGTATACACAGTATACACACCATGCGAGGTGTCAAATTTACGCGTAACAGTCAGGTGTCAGTTATTCAACGTACAATAAGAAATAAGGTAAGCAGTAAAACAATACGGATACGATTGATGATGGAAGTACCGCGTGAAGGGGTATGGAGAGGGCTGGAGCTAGTGAAGTACCAAGACCGCATATGATAGGTCCGAAATTCTCGTTTCACTCATGGGTATCTTTTTCATAAATGCAGTTTTTCAAGTACTGATTGTATTCAATATTAAATCAATACTAACTATCAGTTCAGTTAAGATTTCAGTTTTTACAAGTATTACCCATGCACTTTCGTGCGCCGGTTTTGGTTGCTGTCTTTTGACTGTCCATTTGGATGAGAGAGCAACTGGAAGATTGGAATGTTGAGGGCAGAGTACAGGTGAAGATAAAAAATTCATTTGGACTGGTTTTGCAAGAATAATGAGCAGATGCACGAGCACCACCGTTTGCGACTCACAATCACATCACTGAATGTCTCTAACCACCGATTATCATGATCTCGAGGTCTCCATCCAGAGAGTTTATCGGGACCTATATGACCAAGTCTCCTGGTTAGGGGTTTCGTAGCCTCGTAACTCATGACCGCCTTTGACCTTCTTTCATCCGTTTGTTGAGGACAATTGAAGCTAGTTTGCAACATTTGTTCTTGGTTATCTTGAATAGGTTTCTACTTATCTCCATTGATCAAATTAGTCGGAAGCAAATGAGCCCAACCAAACACGAGTTTATCAAGTGGAGATATGGGAGAAACTAGTCAGTGTAGATCGGACAAAGACGACGATTATATTTTAACATTTCGTGGCTCATCTTATAAAAAAATGCCCATCTCCATGTTCTCACTTTTATAACTTGATCGAAAATTCAAATGTCTCTAATTTTGGCACTGACTGTAGTTGCTGAAGTGATTGGTAGACCTGGTGATTGTACCTAATCAAAAACAATCAGGTTATGGATTTTATCCACACTCTAAGCTACGGCATTATGCCTATTGAACCTAAAGTGCAAAGTAACGGGATAATAAACGCGATAACATTGGTGTAATCTTAACTCTCGTCTCTACGCAAAGTATAACAACTTCTAGCCTCCATATTTCCAGTTATCGTTTTTTAACGATCGAAGAGAAGACAAGCTATGCGTTTTCTCGTTGCTTTCCGATATATACCAACTCTGTCCGTGATCCTATTCTTATTTTTTGTCGTCAATGCAATAACTGGATTGCAGCTCAATCGTCCGTGCTGTGGGTATCACTGTGTTTCATGCGACCGAAGCTATTGACCCGGAAACAACTGTCAGATGATAAAGCAACTTTCGTGCATTGCAAGACGATGTGCGGATAGTGAGAAAGTGATGAGTTCGTTCACTCGGAAAGGGATGATGACACGTTGGCGTGCTTGTTTAAAATCCGTTCAGCTGGAGGGCGTATACGCAAATAAGATAGATCTGTAATACTGCAGATACATTTGATAACAAATAGAAACCCGAAATTTGAATGGTACATTTTTTCTTAGAATTCTATGCGTAAGACTTATGACGCGATGGTTTTGCGCAATGGGGCTGTTCCCAAGCTATTTGGAGCAATTCTAAGCAATTACTGTGATTATGGCATGCATATCGTACCCGATCCCCACACTTAGTTTATCTTTTCTAACCCCTAAGTTACATCTGAAAATGTTCTGAACCACAGCGTAACCTTTGTAAAAAACTGTGGAGCCTATTCGTACTCTCCAACTTCTGATTCCTATTCACGTTACTTGAGCTGCTTAGAAGAGCTACCACCGCCTACCCACTGTGACCCCGAAGGTGATCAACGGACGGCTTCAGCCCACTTAGGTGCCCTAATTCATGTGATCCATCCAGAGGTTTACTAACTTTGGCGTTAGTGTTCACCCGAACTGTACGGCCAGTCCTATTGGAACAATTTATGTGATCGATCCAGACAGCCTGTTCAGTTCATGAATAGTTCGTTTTCTTTCACAAGCGCTGTATTGCATCCTGCAGACTGATTAGTCAACTAGCCCACAGTCCTTTTGACTGTGTTGTTCTTCGAAACGGGAATTCCCCTTAGTGCACCGTGGCGCACGAACTGTGACTGAAATACAGTGAATTTCGAGGCATCAGGAAAACCTGTGAAAAAATGGGACAACCAGGCAAACGAAACAGGAAGTTGTCAACTCTAAAGCATTACTAAACCACAAAATTATCTATCCGATACATCTAGCATTGTGTGTGAAGTTGTCTGCAATGTTCTTCTGTAAGGTATTTGATCCCAGTGGCTCGCCCAAAGCCTCTGCTTTCACACTCTTCGCACTCTCTACTTGCCTCCATTATCACACAGGTGCCTTTGGCAAGAGCATCCTGCTATTGACGATCGCCTACAGTCCTCCGAACCACCGAGGCCTTATCGTTGTTTTACTTGTGATCAATGTGGCGCTCTCTTCGTTGATGCTGATCGGTTTCAATCTGGCGGATTTGGATTTGGCCCCACCATATGCTGGTGCGTCCCCGTTCCTCCGTTTTACTCACCCACTCCTTCAAGTAGTTGGTCATTTGATTCTCAGGCCATTGGTTTATGCCGGACCTGTGGTGTGTGAGGGGCGGGGGGAGTTGATTACACTATCCGTTTGTACTTCTTGCTTGCGGTGTCAGATAATCTAAGGTGAACAATCGTCGTTACCAATTTATCCCTAGTTTAGCATAAATCAAATTGTAACTTACTGTGCTTGAGGTTTAGTCGTTCACTCAGTCTGGATTTTTAAATTTCACACACATCTGAATCCAGACTGTGCCAAACAAGTCATCGTACAATGATCTTAATAAAAAGAGAAGCCTTCCATGATCTGCATGTGGACTGAATACCGCCAGATTGCCCAGGCCGAGGCAGGTGAATTTTCTTGAGGAATCTACAACCGGAGCCTTCGGCTAGCCACAGCCTGACCCGCAAGGTAGCAAGGTAGTGGTATTTACCGTATCCTCTTTTCTTCATTTCAATAAATGTTTCTTGATAACTACCTATGGAATTCCGCATTCGAATTACAATATATATATATATATATACCCTTCCAACTTTTATCTTTCAGGTTTTCTGTTTGCCATTTTCAATGCTTGTTCCACCCTCAGCGGTATGCTTGCGCCGTTAATTGTCGGCGCTTTTACCAACATCTATGTAAGTACATTTACTGCAGTTCCCTTTTCGAATTTATCTCCCTCATTCTTCTCCAGGTCGTTTTCAGATGTTGAATATAGTAATAATCCACCACACTTAAACAATAAGCAAATATGCCGCTTGAGTTGATAACACTACCTACTCACACTTTGACTCGTTCTGGGGTTCCGTGAAGATCAGCACATGTTAGCTGTTAATATGTTGCATTCCTTGAGGCATATCGTGTCTCCTCAATTTTGTCATTTATTTAACGTTCGCTTGAGTCTCTAAGAGGCGGAAGCACTCATCGCCAGCCATAAATCGGCGAACTGATCACCAGACAATATAAACCGAAGCCTAAAGCTCTCGGTGAGAACACCTGCGGCATGTGAAGCTAATTATTCCCAAATGGGCGGGTCAAATCTACTGTCTGATCCAAGGGCTACGAAGAAACTGTCCAGGTAATATAGGGATACATGAATCCATGCAGTCGCATCCCCAGCTATCCGGTGGTGAATAAATCGAGCCGTCTGTAATCATACACCGTCACGTTGTTACCCTTCCATTCCGCACACGGTCTCTTCCAAACGGCTCCGGGCGACGCTGGTGACGTTTTTTGTGCTAAACTGTCGATTCATGGTTGATTATTAGAGTCGGACTCCGGTTATTGTTTTTTCATGTCTGTACACTCCAAATCACCCGCATAGATGCATTTTTCAAGTTAGGTTAGGTCATGGTGTTCTAGTTAAACGCGAAAGTTTACCCAAATGGACCACGTAGCTGTAAGCTATCGTTGGCGTGGTTCAGTACAAAATTGCAGGTCTTATTGGACCATCTGTGTCGAGTCGCACTATGCACTATACCTTTTTCGGTTTAAGATGTCCGAAATCCAATTTAAGGTGTGGCAATATGAATTTAAGATGTCCGAGTATCAATTTAGGATGTCATGTTGCTATGTTTTCACTCTGTACTATGCAAGGTACTATTCACATAGCAACATGACATCTTAAATTGGATTTCGGACATCTTAAACTGAAAAAGGTTTTGTTCTGTTACGTTTCACTCTTCGAGTCATCGGTCATCGAGAGAAATTACCTCCTCAGTTAGCTCATCATCGTATGCGCGATCCGTCTGTGTGCGCACGTTATGGGGAGAATCTGGAACAGGAGCTAGGAGAACCGCGACATGGTTGAGTAGACCAATAAGGGAATCAGGTTAGATTTGCGATGCACTCAGCAGTCAACTTTGCTTGCGGGACCGAGCCCGAAGTTCGCCGAAGAAATTAGATCTCTCAGGAGTCAGTAATCCTAATGGATCAAAAAAGAAAGATCATAATCTGCCAGGATCAGCATAAGGACCGGTGTCGCCTGCAACGCCAACTCAGGAATAGAATTAAGAAGGATCGCGAGAATTGGTGGGCCAAAATAACTAATGAAATGGAGGTAGCTTCTGAGGTCGTTGCATACCGGTCAGTGAGACCATTTGCGACAAAAGTGGACAGTGTGCACAATGAAGAACAACAACTTGATCGCTGGGCAGAGTATTTTGGTGAACAGTTCAATTGGCCCAGTGCCAATGCGGTCATTCCAGCCATTGCAGCCGAAACCCCATTGGAGATAACATGTGATCCCCCATCAGAATCGGAATTACGAAGTACAGTTGGGATAGGAGGGGGGGGGAGTAGAATCACTGAAACATGCATGCCGTACTGTGGCGATGTATGCTGATTTAGCAGCCATGGCTGTGCTTGCAACGACAACCGCTTTGGTCCGAACAGTAAATAGAAACATGAAAAGGTGTGATATAAAATATATTGTTCGTCCACTTCCACTTAGTTTTTTATCATGCTCGAGACCGGGAAAACTGTGCTGATAACGGAGTGCACTAGCTAATCGTTTTGGCTTTAAAAGTGTGACAGAATTGGCTCGTCGTCGCAAGGCATCATAGTGTGACTTGTAAGACCGCAGAGAGTGCATATTGCGAGATGCAGCTACTGAGAATGCCAGGATACTCACAAATACTCAATCCTGTTGAACATAAGTGAATGTTTTTTACGACCAAAGTTAGGAGGGATTTGAGCGTTGATCATCCCAGTTTCATTTACCGAGATACTCAACAGGTTATCAGTCAAACAGAATAGCTGAGAAAATTATTGAAACAGTCAGTGACGAAAGCAACCGATGCTCATTGCGCTATATGAAACTTTTGGTTCCGAAATTGAAAGGTTTTCAAAGATGTGCTGTTCCGAGTATGGGCTCTGAATCGGATTTGAAGTACTGTGACTTTTCACCGTTTGAGTTGCAAACTGAACTGTTTGGAAAAGCTAATCCGAAACGTGTAAATGATCTAAGATTTAGAAAAAATTAACTTCAATGCATTTGATTGGGTTTAAGAGAGATGGACACCATCGAACCATTCAGAAATGAAACTTATGGCTGATTGAAGGGGGTCGATGGAAGCAGCTTTGTCGGCTGTATCACCAACCACTGTGCCATTCGCAAATTTAAGTGTGAATACACCTTGTTTTACATTGACAGTGAAGACACCTGAACTAGCGTTAGTCAGTAACAGTCATGCATCCAATTCAATAACGTAGCTGGACATTTTGTTACTGTATTGGTGTCAACAGCTTGTTTATCTCAACAGAGTTAAAAGCGTTTGCATACTACAAAACGGAAAAATGAACAGTCAGGTGTTTTCGGTCGACAGATGAAACGGATTATGTAAGACATGCCATCCCATCTACAGTAGAGCGACACTTACAATAGACGAACTGGTTAGAATCGCGAGGATCCACAAAAGAAGAACGAGCCTTAGCGATAGTTCGCTCAAAAGTCTTAAGTAGTATCGGGGATGAAGCAGTAAGCAGAAACGTTTCCTTTTCTTTCTTAGGTATTGTAGTAGTGTGAACATCACACCATGTATCAGCTACTTTACCTGACCGAATTTAATTGTCTTCGTGAAAAAAATTCAATGCGATAATACTGATGCTCATTTCTGTTGGATTATCGTGAATTTCTACCGGAAGCTTGCTACAGTTAATTCTTAGTGTCCCCACAGTGGTCATTGCTTGTTCGCTTAATCTGTTTTCTAATCGCTAGTATGTGAAGAAAATGGTAGCTGTAATGTCATATAATGTGTAAATATTTTATATGCCGCTATAATTCCTCTGACAGTGTGTAACTCTTTCTATCAAATACATCGACTGCGTTCTGTTTCGTTCAGTTTTACAGTTTGAGCCAGAAATGGGCGAGCTACATCCAAGGCGTGACTGACTGTGATTGCTAGATCATTGATGAAAAACAGCCTAGTCATCAAAGTTAGCCTCGATAACCCAAACCTCTCAACAAATGTTGCTATTCGAATAGGCCCATGATCCACGTGATGAAAAGTGCATCGCTGGGAGTTCATCGTAAGCAGTGAACTCGTCCCCGGTCGTAGTGACTGTGACAAGCTTTGGTGATTCAACTGTTGTCTGTGTCCGAGCCACAACGACCAGTTGTAGCTCGCACGAAACAATGCGCGTCAGCCTTCGTGCTTGTCGAGTCAGATCTAACTTAGCTGTCTCGCACAAGTCGCACGGCTTCCCCGACCCACCGAATCGACGTACGTCAGCGAGCTCGGCAGAATGCAAGACTGAGGTCTACCTCATTCCACCATATAAAAGAGCGTCGAAAGACAGGTAATCAACCGGGCGGAGGGTAGAAAAACGTATGGTTAATTGATCAGTGAGATGAGTCTAACGGAAGCGGATCCAAACTAAGCGTTTCTTTATTCAAAGTGAGAGTTTCGCAAGCCAAGGTTATCGTTTCTCAAATCATTCTTCAAATGGTGCAGTACATCTAAGATGTTTCGATCGTGAATGAGTAGACACATGTGTGACACTGCGGCAATTGAAAACCTCAGCTTTCTGTCTCAGTCGCCAGCAACGCGTACTCGATTTGGGTGTGTAGTTCCACACTATTATGCAATGTTATCGCTCTTCGACCTTACCGGCCTCCTCAGAGACCTCTTTGCGGATGCCGAATAGCGATGGCCAAGCGGCACTATTTTTTTTCCTAACGTATTTCATAATCATCTATTTCAAACTAACAAATATATCGGCTTTTGAAATTTTCATTGATCCTGGTAATCTGCTTTCATTCTGTGCATTGTATTTTAGCCCGCGGAAGTTGCCTGGCGTAATGTGTTTATCCTAGCCTCCGCTGTTTCTTGCCTTTGTGGGGTGCTGTATGTGTTGTTCGGTCGTGCCGAACTTTTGGATTGGGTGTTGAATCAGCATGCCAATCGACCGGATATCCTGTATCATCCGTTAGAGCAAGGCAATTCTACTGACAGTTGGGATCAGACACTGGAAGAAATACCAGTCGATCCAAATGAACCTCATTACTCTTCAAAGATTTGCTAGATAGTCTCATGTGACTTCACCTCCTCCTCCTCCTCCTCAGGATTATAGTTTTTGCATATTTTTTACTCTCAACTTGTTCGCTTTTGTTCACATCCATCCACCATGTCTTTCGATTGTCAACGTTTTACATCGACCGGTGCGTGTCCGGTTTTGTCCGGGCTATCAAACTTGTGTCTAGCTTGCTATGTTACTCTGCTTTTAGTCCGATCACGTTTTTATTCTCTTTTTCTTTTCGGTCAAGTTTCTTGCGAGCAACCACACGTGTCAACACAATGACATGGTATATTCCCCCCAGTTCTCATTTGAATCCTCATCCAGCTATGAATTAATTTTTTGGACAAAAGTCCTATTTTGTCTAAACTTTCACGTTCGGTCTTCTAGTACCCGTTGTACAATTTCTCAATCAGAGTAATATCTTTGTGATTTCTCATCTATACGATGTTTTTCATAATATATTTTCTTGCTTTGTGACACAGGGGTTATTTGTCCTTTGGTACTTTTACAATATGTTGGGTATAATGCTGAAAATCAATATATTGATACAATTCAAGATGCACCGTGAAATGTATTTATGACACTAACGTCTACTAGAGTGTTGCTTTCACGTTTGCAATCAACAAAGGCAACGGATTTGGCGAATTGAGGTTGCATTCGAAGAGATAGCCTGATTAGCGAATTGAGAATTGGATATCGAAAATGGCTCCAGTGCGCTGTGATGGAAGTCTGTGACACCACTGTCCGATGCGGTGTCCTGATGATCAGTGTAAGCTGCGTGCTCCAGAATACTGTGCCAATGCAACCATGAACACTGATTGGAAAATGTGCTGAGGACCATTATCAACAGTTGAATTCAACCTGTCCTGTGACGATGCTTGTTCTTGCTCTTATGAAATTCCTAAAGGGAACTGGATGTGTGATATATTATTTACTCCGTTCGTTTTGCCGCTCTAGACCAACCACCAAAGTCTTGCACTTATTCAAGCCTTTCCCTGTTTGGTAGCCTATAAGTGCAAAGTACTGCACTGAATTCACTATCCGTCATCGATATCCGAGAATATAGGCCCTTGTAAGGGGTCATCAAGCCAAGTCAACATAAAGTAAGCTTCGTACATCGTTATTGGGTGAATTTTCAGCTTTCTGCATCAGTGTTACTGAATATTTTGATTAAAATTAGTGTTGAATAATAAAAAGCCACAAAATAAAGTTAGTTGGGCAAGTAGACGTGCACGAAGTTCATTGGAGATTTTCTGCTGGTCGAGAAACACGCAATGAATACGGAACAATGGATTTGCGGTCACAAGAGAAATATGAATCTGGCTGATGTGACAGATATGGATGCAAAGCGTCTCCAAGCACAGAAGAGGCAACTTATTTGGATGCATCGATGTGTATTATCTGGAAAAATCACTGTAGGACGTTCCCTGCATTTTGAGAGTTGCTTTAAAGGTCTCAGAAGAATAAAATCCTTCTTATAGCGGCCAGAAAAAAAGACAGGTGAACAACATAACCATTGAGGAATGACACAAGCTTTCATAAAGCTAAGGATTAACTTAAGGTGCAGAGAGGAAAACGATAATCTAACCTTACAAAACGTCTGGTTGATGTGAGTGAATCTTGACAGATAACGATGCAAAATGTCCACCAAATAGGTCAAGTCAAGAAGTTACGTTATAACACCATCTGGTGCAAATTCAGCTGCCACATACTCCACAAAAATGAAGATATGGATAAATAAACACTGGACATTCCCATAATCATGCATCTGGTCAAAGGGGCTTTAATAGCTAGTCATCCGCATGTACTGATCAATGCTTTGATGAACGATGGTTTCAAAACCACACAGAATCAGCCGGTAGTGTAGCTACTAAAAGCTGTGAAACCGAAGATATTATGCAATAAGTGTCTACAGATTAGCTCCCTCCTGAAGAAGAAATAGCGTAATTAGAATTCGATGATGAAGAAAAAGTTGTATCGCGTCTCGGTTTTAGTTTTTACATCAAATTGCCTCGAACCAATCCAAGCATCGCAACCTAGAACATGAATGTAACTCAGTTAATGCATCGGATTCACTTGAAGTTGAAAAGGTATAGTCTGAATCGTCCGCTGTTCTGTAACGTCATTATAACCAAAACTGTATCAGATCATGGTTGATTCCATGTACCCAGTTCGGTGGTTACCCTTGAATTATTATTCAATGGGATAAAATTTATAATCAAATCCGGTAATTGAGCTAAAAACGTTCCCAAAGGATAGGTAAGTAGTTTTCGGAAAGATGGCTACTTGAAACTGAAAAGGGCTACATTCCGAGTGCACAGTTCTTCTGTCAAGTTGAGGGCTTCATAAAGGAATTAAATATCTTTGATACATCGGGACTAAATGATACTATTTGGTTGAATTCCAATTTAAACAAACAGCTAATAATAAGCCATGGAAAAAGGTAACGGAAGTAATGCAGTTTGCATCGGTCCTGTTTATTTTGTCGCAAATATCCTTATTGATTTTTCGTACTACCTAAAGGCATACAATACTGACTAACGTGACGTCGCAAATTCTGTAATTTAATCACTTTTCTAAACCCGCGAGGGGTGCTACGTAGTAGGAGATTGACTACATCTTTAAATCATCTGTTGCTCAACAACACAAACCATTGTTACATCGCCAGTCCTCTTCAATCTTCGACTCACCAAACAACCGTCTTCATCCATTTCCGCTTTGAACAAGTGATCCCACGTATGTGATTTATTGCTTAATTCGTTAGCATAACTGCATTGAAGAGAAACACGCAAGTAAAAACGAGTGAAACATCTGTTACTGGTATATTTTGTTCTTTTCCTTATTCAGGCTCCCGTTGTTTTCTGCTCTGTCTTTCCATACTTTTCTTGTGGATAGTGTGTACCATAGTGTCTACAAATATCTGTTTGTTCGTGTTTTTGCTGTTACCCTAGTGTATTGAAATATATCAGTTCAGTCGCTATGATTTTTTGTTTGTTTCAACCGCGCGGTTTGAATTTTTGAAGTGCTATAACAGAAGTGAAACTTTCACGATTTTAGTGAAATAACGTACGTTATTTCAAGTCTTTGTACGTACCAAGGTATTCCCAAGGTCACTAGAAAAATATCGTTTTCTCTCGAGTTTCATCAAGAAGACCGTTTTTTTCGTTTTTTGGAGTAGCGTTATACTCAAACGGATA